CTTTGTTGTGTATTATGTCTTGCATTTCAGTTACCCAAACGCTTCGTATTTCAACTTTTGAACAACAGGTTGTACAGAAAGCCATACGCGACAGAAGTCTTTCTCGGGGGTCTTTTTATAATGATGTATTTTTTCTACTATCGTGAATCAGATATATAATGATATGGAATAATATTGTATGTCCGTTCTATTTGCCAGTCAGACATAATACTATTATTTGCCCACTACAGCCTGAAAGAGTTAAATCCTCATTTCCCCCTGCATGGTTTTTAAATTGCAAAGTGTCTAATGTATTCATGTACAACATGCCGATATGATTTTTTAAACATTGTTTGTTCCGTGTAATGTATGGTTAAGGGAACAGTTTCTTAGCGTTTCCGTCCTCTCATTCGTCATTCTTTTTTTCCGCACTGGGTTCTTAGTTCTTCGGCTACAAGCGTCAAGAATTTCAAGGTGTGTAAAAAAGTGGGGCGGAATTCAATGGGCCTGTCATAATCTGACAAAACGAGGAAGCGGAAAATGAAAGGGCTTGGAGACGCCGTGAATTTGTCAGTGTGTATACATGAAGGCTATGTAACACATGTATACAAACATACACAAACGCACACACACATACACACACACACACACGCGCGCGCGCGCGCACACACACACACACACACACACACACACACACACACACACTGTGAGTTCGTGATTTTCTGGGTGTACCAGTGCATGTGTTTATCTGTCTGTATCAGTGCGTCTGCGTCTCTCTGTGAGCTCGCGCGTGTGTGAATGTGTGTGTGTATGTGTGTGTGTGCGTGTGCGTATGAGAGAGAGAGAGAGAGAGAGAGCGTGCGTGCGTGCGTGTGTGTGTCTGGGTGTTTGTGTGAGTATGCTGGATATGCTTGTGGCGTCGTAGATCTACGAACAGAAACGACTGAATAAATCATATTTGTGTCAATTTTAGTAACACATGAATGGAACCAAGATACAGGACTCCCTTTTAACATGCTGTTCATTATTGAAAAATAAACACACTGGACGTTTCGCTTCTTATCTTAGATATTTACCGCATGAGGGTGAGCGCTGCCACATTCGTTTACTTCTGAGCAACAATTGTCTCGGATCATTAAAATTTATGTCTGGTATTGATTGAGGTGAAAGTTAAATACAATTAATATTTCGTTACGAACGGCTTAGTTTTGAAGAGGACGAGTGTTGATAGGTGTTCTGCTTATTTTTAGAGAGTGTTTTACGGCACTTGCAACACAGTAAGATCATATAAGCGCCGAAGATTAGAGGTCTTACAAGAGAGTAACAAACACTCAAAAAAGAAGGAGAGATAAGGACGACAGATATTTGATAGGAAAGAAGGAGCAAACCAAACCAGAGCCCCCCGCCAACAACCCACTGTTTTCTACTACTGCCAGTCGGATCTCTGAACTGTCGTAATGGCAAATAAATAAGGTTAGTATAAGGGGAGAGTGGGGACGGGTGGTGGTAGGGAGGAAGGGGTGTTTAAGCTGTCTGTTGGTCGTAGTGGAAAACGACTATTTCCAAAAAAATATTGATCTGAAAGAGAGCGGAGTAGCCGATAGATAGGTTGAAGCGTCTGTTTCGTGAGATCGCTTTGAACTCTCTGGGAGGACTCATTCTATCTTTATCCGTTGATTTGTTATTGGAAAGTTCTTTTCAGAGATTGACATGGTGCAAACGTCTTAAATAGATAGGTCCATATTATCATGTTATGATGGCAGCGACAGACAATGAAAATAGTTACTTTGGGGAAAAGTGTCCTTTTTATCAGTAGAAGTAGGTCAAGACGTACATTTAGTAGGCTACTGACTTTATGGCAACTACAGTGTATAAATAGAAACAAAAACCCTTATGAAAGAAAACTAGGACACGATAGTGTAATAATTTTTATCATAGCCAGCTTCGAAAGCAAATTGTAAATAGGTTGACACACCAACGTGACCAAGGCTCTTTGAAAGTATCTTCTATGACCAAAGAAAGGCACACCCAAAAATTGTTGCCAATTATGTACTTGTAGCTGATGGCTCTGTGGTCTTTTTGAGATATCATCTTTGACGTGGGGCAACCATTTACAAAATAAATATATATTCATTTTTAAAAACCATACACAAACAACCATTGACTTTGGTGGTTTCAAGTTGTATATTTTTGTCATGGGGGAATCAAAATCAGGTCTTCTGCATGCGACGGTGAAACACAAAACCGCTCCACCACAGACGCCGGGTCAAAAACCTCTAAGTCTTAGATACAACTTAGATTAAAATCTATACTCTATACTGAGGTCGGAAAAAACTTTGTTTTAAACAAGAGAGGGTTTTCTTTTCGTTTAACTAACTGCTAAAGATCGCGTACGCGTATTGAGGATCAATTTACTTTATGTTCTATTCCCCCCCCCCCCCCCAAAAAAAAACCAAAAAAAAACAAACAAGCCGAAAAAGAAAAGAGGACGAAGTCATGGTGGGTTTTTTTTTACATATATTTTTTAAGCTACACAGCTCTGGTCAACTTCAGGTGTTAATTTAATTACTCTATTCATAGTGTATGTAACGAAGAAAGCTAATTCTACTTTCGATTTAGCAACAAGTAAGTGTACTCGGAGGGTTCTCTTGAATGTCTGTGGAACACAGAAAAATAATGTAAGGACTCAGCGCCAAGAAGCCTGCATGGAAAAGACATTCTTTTTCGAGTTGTTTTCATTGGGGTCCTTTGCCTTTAGTTTAGCTTTTCTTTTTCTTATCTTTTAACCATGGGCACCCAGATATATACACAGGCCTGCAGTAACCTACTGTTCAATAGAAATACTGTTCTTTATTCATAGCGGGCAAACAATGTACCTTTATTAAAATGCTTTTGCTTACATAGTGACTCTATTATTAACAATATCCATCAATATCCTGTATGAGGTACCTTTATCAAACACATGTCGGTACCCCACCCCCCCCCCCCCCCCAAAAAAACCGTTTTATGTTTAGTAAAAAAAAAAGTGTGGGAAGGTGGCGGTTTTTTTTTTGGGGGGGGGGATATCATCTGTGAACATTAATATCTCGCAGCTAGAAATGCTAACGTGTACGTGACTTTAAGAAAAGTTCTGTCAGCGCCTGGGAGGTGAGGTCAGACGTGCACAGTAGGCCTATAGACTTTTTGTAGCCTTGTGTCCAATAAACCATACTATTTGAAATACGTTTATCCTATGCCCCAAAAGGCATTGTGTGGTGTTGGAAGAGATATTATGTTTGGATGGTATGCCAGGTCCATGTGAAATCCTGATATAAAGGATTCCTTACTGAAGAGGGGCACAAAAGTCCTGATCCCTAGACTACATATAATATATGAGACGAAACGGGTGATACCCTAACCAAAAAATAAAATCTTAAAAAACCCCAGGCGAAAAAATCAAAACAACCAATAAAAAGATAAATAAAATAAATATAAATCTATGAATAAATAAATACATGAATAAATAACAAATAAATAAACACATGTGCCCACTGCACATTTAGCCACCAATTTATTTCTATATGATGCAGAATTAAGGTACACTTTTCTTGAAAATGTTAATGCCGCGGTTGGCTTTTTGTTTTACGTTAAAAGAAGCATTTATCTTTTTATCTATTTATTTCCCTTTACGGACCTGCAAGCTATAGAACTGGCAAAATATTTTCTGGCAAAAAAAACCCCAAACGATTTTATGGGCTAGAGGTAAAGTTTATACAATTTTTTATTTTTTCATTTTGTGTTTTCTTTTTTGTTTGCACAGAGACATTCCTAAAGTGTCGTGGCATTTATCCGTTTACAGCTCCTGTCTCCTCCAAGCAGATAGACGTTTGAACCGCTGATCTGCTTTTACGGCTCTGTTACGCTTGAATAGACAGAATAAAGAAAAGAACTGGAACTCGGGTAGACTGATCATATACAGCAACCCAGGGCAGTCATATTCCTTCAACTTAAAGCCGTTTTGTGACACATTTCTATGGAAAGTGGGACCATGCCACAAACCATATAAAAAGTCATTCAAGACTCCAAGAGACAGCTAAATGGACCACGGTTAAAATGCCCTACGCCAAATGAAAAGTAGCGTATAACTTTCACTTGAGAGATACAGAAGTCCTATACAATTTTTGCTCTGTAAAGAAAGAGTTGAATGACAGACTCCCTTTCAGCCCTAGCCTTGACTGAGCCAAAATTTCGCTCTTTGTCAATGGGCATGTCGCTGAATTACTTAAGAGGTTCACCTTAAAGTTGTAAACTGGTGCATGGAACACATACACAGTGGATATAAAATCCTACCATGAAGTTATGGTCACTTAGTGCTGGGGAAAAGAAAGAAGGACAGACAGAAATAACAGAAGGAAAGTAAAGATGTAGGACATACCAATGGCGTCCTCCAACCACCGGCGATCTAACTTACGGTCCATTCCCTTATATCTAACAGAAGAGCGTTTATCGGCAACAATATCACAAAGAAGAATATGTACTTGACCCTAAGACAGAAACAACACACAGAAAACTTGTGTTGGACATACGTGTGGCGCCCTCCAACCACCCACTGTCTGTGCTGTGTGCTAGAACGAGACGTTTAACAATGTAAAAGTGGCAAAAGTTGGCAAACACTGGTCTTTCAGTTTCAGTAAGAGTGTTACAGCACTTGCAAAACAATAAGGTCATAGAAGGGCATAAGACTAGAGACACACGTTACCAAAATAATTACAAGAGAGTAACAAACACACAAAAAAGGATAGATAAGGACGAAATGATGTTTCATAGGAAAGAAGGAGCAAACTATACCAGAGCACCCACCAACCACCAACAGAGAGAGAGAGAGATTGAGAGAGAAAGAAAGAGAAAGAGAGAGAGAGAGAGAGAGAGAGAGAGAGAGAGAGAGAGAGAGAGAGAGAAACAAGCAAAAGCATTGAAACACAAACAAGTCACAGCATTCAAACATGAACAACAATAACCCAAAAAGCAGAACTCAACATAGTGACCAGTACATAATTCATTGTTTATTTCTGCTTGCGTCATCAGTCACTGAACACAAACCCAGATGATTAAGTCATACTTAAACAATTCCCCAAACATACAAACAATACATTCGTAATAATTATTTTTGTTTCACGTTAGATTCACATAAATTGGAACTGGTTACACTCAGGGGACCATAGTAAAGCTATGACTTATTATTATGAGCAATTTTTATACTGAAGGCTTTGCCACAACAGTACAATGTTGAATATACACTTTAGTGCTTCTTGATACAACATCACAGCTGCACTAAAAGAACAAATATGTTTGTATTAGTAGACACAAAACGTTTATCTTTAGGATCCCTCAAGATCTATAAATGCACACAACATAAAATACAATTTCTAAGTTCACCTGGACACTTCCAAGAACATCATTATAATTTCCTTACAGACTATTCGCAGGCGCTACTTCCACATTATTACTGTTATAATCCTGAACTGATGGAACGGTAGTCCTGCAGAAGTCTTTAACTAACCCTTTCAACAACAGAATGAATTCAGGGCTTTAACACATGTCCTCCTGTTCTATTCGTTGCAATTTTCCCCCCAAGGATAAGACAAAGGGACAGCACCCACTTTGTGTTGTTAGCTCGAAGTGGTCAGGAAACAACAAAACAGTACTGTGCTTCATTTCTTCCTGTGGTCATCTGATATTATTATGGTGTAATATAAATCGACTTCAGAGTCCAGTCAAAAATTCGAGGCGCAACTTATCCTCAAATATCTTTTTAACCGGCGAATCAATGTCATCCATACTTTGCTCAGCAGTGATTGACTCATAAAGGAAGCAGAATTCTTCTCCTGAGGGGCCAAGAAATTCAGACATTTTTGCCATTAAAAAACCCACAAACATTTTCAGTTGTAAAGCAGGAAATTAATTTTCCTTCCAAAGCTACAATAAAACTGGAGGGTGGTATAATACACAATATTATTTTGCTTTTGAAAACTCAAGTAAAGTTTAAGTAAAAATATTTTGAATAGAATGAAATACACATACACAAATACCCTGTCTGAGTATGTTTTCCAATATACCCCAGACTTGTTGTCGTTCAAAAGTCTTGATTGATTGAAATTGCAGATTGAGACACTTTGCCTTAATCAAATAAATTTCCCAGGTAGGAATCAAACTCTCATATATTCAGTGCTCAACGGCAAAGAGCCAAACCATTAAATCACAGACGCTGGTTACAAAATTCTTTAACATCAAATAATCTTGAAACAAAGATGAACTACTGTGACTCACTATAAGTGACATGTGAACAAATGTTTCTTATCCAGTCAAAGCAATCCACAACATAACTAGACAAGAAATTAAATGCCCCTTTCATAGACGAAGTACATGTACTTATGTTTTTTTACTCCTTATTAACGATTTGGGGCGTTTTGAAAGCGCCAGTGGCCTTTGAAGTGACATTCGTACTTTCAGTATTAGATCCATATCACTCCCTTATTGTCTTGAAGTATATAATCAGTCCTAGGACTGGGCCTATTCTGACAGCTGTTAGCCAAAACGAGAAGGATAATTTTTTTTATGTTTCAGGTCGATCAACTGTAGTTTCTTCTGCACATGAAGATACGACTACAGCAGAAGTGAAAGTAGTGTCAACAAAATAACAGAAACCATCCGCCTTGAACGAGGAGGAACAGTAAAGTGCATCATCAATCTCTGACTGCCAGTTACGGTAGACATCAAGAATGCCATACATTTTTTTTAAAATGGCAACTTTCATTGAAAGGGTTAAGTAGACATCAACAAGACAAAATCACAAAACCGCAGTAAACTGCAATTGAAGATACAAATAACATGCTCCTGAAAACATTACAGTAGAAATAAAATCTCATACATTTGGTTTCCATTTCAACGACAGGGCTAAACATTAAAAAAGGCATTAGAAAACTAAGAAAGAGAACAAATTCTGATTATTTATTCAGTAGCATACTAAAGACAGTAAGGTTAAGTATACCTGTTAAAAGACATTATAAAGGTACTTCATTCGAACGCCATTCAAGTAAATCCACAAAGTGGAATCCCCAGCACTTAGGGGCAAAAAATCTTCTACAAAGAGCTGAAGACAAGTAGAAGTCCGTCATGATGTGAAGGAGATGACTAGAACTCATGATTTCGTTGTGCACTGTTGACATTTAATGTGTTGGTGATAACGTATTTCTTGTCTGTTTGATAAGCAGTCTGTCTCGAATCTGTCGAAACAGTTGATAATATTCTTGTAGAGTCTGTGACTGAAATGTTGAGCACTGAGCAGCCAGTATGCCATGTCAGTGTGTAATGATGTCTTCAGATCTGTTTTCATTTCAATAAACATTACCAAGTGTATTGTGCAACATTATTTAAGAAAAGAGGGGAACAAAACCAAAAGCAATATTAGACAATCTAGAAAAAAAACAACCATTGTGACAAAGCGCTTACACCAGCGTGAACTCTTTTCCACTGTACAGACCATTCACAACAAGTATTTGTTAACTTCCACTTTTAAAAACGATTTATTTTCTAATTTTCATGCATCTGACTGAGTAAAAACCTACTGATGATATATAACGAAATCTGCACTCAAGCCTCTGGCTGAAATATCACTATCATCAAAAGCTGACTCATTCTGTTTCTCCATCTGACTAATGGAGCACCATCTAGTGAAACATGATTAAACTGGTGGAGTGACATTTCTAAGAATAACAAAAAGACCCTGCTCTGCCATGAGGAACGCTAAAAATAAACTTATACGTCAGGACCTAAAAAGAAATACCTTCATAAATATCGCAAAATATGCAAGGAGAAGCTGCACAGAGCTACATGAGATAAAAACACACATACCTGAGCAGAGGAGAGCTTCCAGAACATAAGTAGTTGACACAATGAAGCTTTCCAACTCATCTATGTGTATCTAGTTTTAAACGCATAATAGGAGTGTGCAGTCCTTGTAAACATTGTTATCAGCAGACTGTTTTTACTGGTAATTTAAAACTTGCTACAAATATACATTAGTGCATAAACTCACGCATGATATAAGGCCACTTTCAGTTTTATAATCCCTTATTCATAAAACACCAGAAGACCTTAGAATAGGCAAACTGAACACCTACTGAGACCACATCCAAAAATATTTCTTTGCAGTAACAGTATCTTAAAATGTATGCATTGTAGTTCAATAAAATATCTTTCTGTTTCCCAGTCAAAAACTTGACAAAATTTTCTTCAACACCACAGGAGTACAAGATCTGGTAGCAGTATACTCCGACTACGGTGCCTGCGATTTGCACTGCACTCAATTATTTTAAGTAGAAAGTAACTTTAAAGTATATCAATGTCCCTTTAGCATCAGCAAGTGTGGGGGACTACAGAGACTAGGAAATATTGGCTTACACTTTGACACCATAACACAAAAGGAGCCATATTTAAACGCGTTTTCATATGAAGAGCATGCTTACTTTATATGGCACAAAGGTCTGTTGAATGCTTTTCATCTCCCACTTAAAGCAACTCAAATTCATCTTCAATCAAACCTGGCTAAGAAGAACATATGAATGGTCCCGCATTCACCCACCTGCAACCAGCGCCAGCAAAAGAAGAACATATCACGAAAGGAGCATAAAGGGGGGGAAAAATACACATTTCTTTTTTTTTTTTTACATAGAGCTTTCAAACTTTAGTTAATTCTCTTCAGAATCACTTGTCAGGCTGGATGTAGACGATGACCCTGAGGGATGGAAACAAAACAAATTTTAATTATTAATAACATAAATCAACCAAATCAGTTGTAGAAAGAAATCCCCAGTGGAGAGTTAGCTTACAGTCATCTATTATTACGAAAGCAAAACAGAATTAACAATTTTCTGACTTGCGCATCAGATCAGATCAGTTAAAAGATTGCCATACACCATCTGAAGGTAGTTCTGAGAAAGCCACGACAAATTTTGCCTGAAGACAAACAGTATGACATTCAATCTGACATACCCTTGAATCAGAAGTCTGAAAGGTCCAAGAAAAAAAAAGCCTAAATACACCGACTTTGAGAGGAATTAAACTGGTACTTTTGACACAAGTCATGAGTTTGACACATTCCGGTACAAAAGTATAAATAAATCATTCTGACTCAATGCAGGCCCTCGACTGAGTAAAACCCCCTACTGCACACAAATAGGCCGTTTCAAATACGGGCCGAGCAGTAAGTTAGAAATGGGCTGATGAAGGGCATCACTGGGCAGTTACATCTTTTACCCAATCCCTCCGTTGTTTCTGTCTCTCAGAGTCACTTCTTTTTGATTACCTTTACACCAAAGAATTTGTGGTGGAAAGTGGGGCAGTGGACAATGTCACCCTCCAGTCCACTCCGCGCACAACCAGCATACAGTCTACATACACTCCCGACACATACCTGAAGACACCTTTGGCAGTGCATTATGACAGACTTGAGACGGCTTTCTTGGCCGCATCATCAAGATCTGAGGCCGAGCGGATCGGCAAGTTGCTCTCTTCAAGGATCTTCTTTGCTGCGTCAACATTAGTTCCTGAATAAAAAGAACAGGACTGATCAGTAATGCATGTCATGAACTCTTTCAAATTTGAATGCTAACGAGTGTTATGAGATTCGATCCACGGTCACACCCACAACAAAATCAAACAACTGAAGCATAACATCACAAGCTTGCCAACTTTTTTTCAAATCCCAATGAGCAACACCCAACATTATGACATCAGACTAGGTAACAACAAACAAAATTTCAAATAGTGGGACTGCTTTTGGCATTGTGTATGTGAAAAGGCTCTCACATTCCCAATTGGTGAATCCGGGATATTCCCATGAAATTTGGGACAGTTGGCAAGCCTGATATTATCTGACCTTAATAATTAACTCTTTATCTCTGAGGGGTAAACCCACAATTCTGGGGCCCTCTTTCGGTACAAAATCAAAAGTGACAAAAACATCACAAAATTGGTCATTAAATCAAAACAAGTAAACATATATTTATAGTTTTCCGTCTACTGAGAAAACTCGTAATAAATGGGACCTATTTTTAGCAATTGCCGAAAAGCAATTTGACGTCAAAGTCATCGTAAAGGAATGAGGCCAAGTGTTGCACACTGCTCACCAGCACAGTGGTTCCAACCGCAAGTCGCTGGAAGCAGCTTGCCGGAGAAAAGGAGTTAATGTACAACTGCCATCTACTATGTGACGAAACTAAAATGTTCTACATACTGCCGCTGAAGAAGCAAAATAAACATTTTTTTAAAGCATATACCCAGAAATCAATTAAGAAACAAAAAGCATAATTATACTGAAACTAAATCTAAACAATAATAAGAGTAGTGAAATTAACTGGGGGAAAAAAAAACCATTCACCTTCCAATCTGACAATCAGAGGCAACTTGAGATTGATAGACTTGCAAGCATTGGTGATGCCACTTGCAATAGTGGCACAGTTGACGATTCCTCCGAAAATGTTGACCAAGATGGCTTTCACCTGATTCGAAAAGGAAGAGAACAAAAGAGATATCAATCTTTTAAAAGTTGACCAATAACTTTTTCTTTAACAAAGCTTGAAATAATTTTTCTTTTTGTGATTGGGCATGTCTTTAACATCAAATCTTCTACTGCTTACAAAAGAAAGGAATTTCAGCTTTGAATTCTGACACAGATTTTTCCTTTAAACAAAGCTTTCAAAATATTCTTTGAGTAAAGATTTTCATCTTCAAAACTTTTGTTGCAGAACAAGAAATTATGTCCTCCTACAACATATTATTCCATAAAAGTCACCCACAAGCACCCTGGATTGGCGCAGACAAAAATCTGACAAAAAATAATAAATTGTACAAATATTGAGCAATTGTCCCTGCAACCCTCATCAAACAACATAGCTGCAGAGTATAATTTTGTGGACACAAATGCACGGCTCATTGAGCGCTCCATTTACCCTCTTTGGCATCAAACACACACTGAAACATCTAAAAGTCAGCATGAGTGAGCTCAGGGGTTTGTGCCTTTAGGCTTAGCTGGCCAGGGCTCAAAGGGGCGTTACAAGAGAGTAACAAACACAAAAAAGATGGAGGAGAGATAGGGATGATAACTGTTAGGAAAGAAGGAGCAAACCATACCACAGCACCTGCCAACCACCTGTATTTTTCAACAGCAATGCACGGAGACACATGAGCAAAAACTCTACATTTGACATATCAAGAATGTGGGTAGGACTAGTGTAACATTTTACCAGTGCAACCATAAAACCCCATGGAATTTTGTCACATAAGTCCGTCTGCTTTGTGACGATGATACCAATAACTAAACATGCCCAAAAATTGACGAGCGCCTGATTCTATATGTTTGGGCATGTGTAGTCATTAGCATCATCAAAAATCTTGTTCATTTGCCTTGCATTCAATAAAAAAAAAGTATCTTTCTATCTTGTGATTACAAGAGGTGGGGGTCGCTGGTTTCAGAGGAAAAATTAGCGAGAAAATGGCCACAAAGTTTGGTGACTTCCACAGCTCGAGAGTCCTTGGAAACTAAAAATTTACATAAATAGAAACAACAATATCTAACCTGTGCGTCTGATGAGATGAGCTTGAAGGCGTGGTAGACCTGGTCCTCCGTCACGGTACCGCCCACATCCAGGAAGTTGGCTGGGGAGCCGCCGTGCAGCTGAATGATGTCCATGGTTGCCATGGCTAGACCAGCGCCATTGACTGAAACAAGCAGAGGACAAGACAAGACTTCAGACACTGGCAGTCTGGCCTTTTCTTTTGGTTTTAGTTTTAGTTTAGTAAGGGTTTAACGGCACTTGGAACACAATAAGGTCATGTAAGTGCCAAAGAATAGATGTGTTACAAGAGAGTGACATACACAAAAAAGAAAGAGGAGAGATAAAGACGATAGATGTTTGATAGGAAAGGAGGAGCAAATCACACCACAGCACCCTCCAACCACCCACAACAAAAAGAGACAAACGAACAAACTGATGATGCCCTACCTAGACAAGCGATGTTTCCATCCATGCCGATGTAGTTGAGGTTGTGTTTGGCCGCCTCCACTTCCCGAGGGTCGCTCTCCGCCATGTCGTCCTGGGCAAAGATGTTCTTCTGGCGGAACTGGGCGTTGTCGTCAAAGTTAATCTTGGCGTCAAAACACACCACTGAAAGGGAAAGAGCAAGATGATAAATCTGCGCCCATTAATTAAAAAAATTTCTGCACAGCAGAAACAAATTGCTTTGAGAAAAAAGAGTGGCTAGAAGGCATATTTTATACCATCATCGAGACTTCCACACGTACAGTTAAAGTCAATACAACGGACTTGTACTCAACAAAAACTCAGATTCAATGAAAGGAGAAGGTTCCCAATTTAAAAAAAAACAACTTTAACCAATAAATACATCATAATCAACAAACATTTAAACGAGCAAACAAGGATGCAATGAAGTTGCTTGCATAACGATCAGCCCCCGCTCATATGACTGTGCATTTTTCTCCTGCCCACAATGAACCTGTCCTATCAACTCTGTTCAAGAGACTGCCAATTATCCTGCAGTGTGGATCATTTCACGCCTATTGTGAATGTTTTGTTTAATTTGTCTACGGAAGACCTATTTTATTATGACAATTGCCATATAATGCACAACAAAAAGCAAGATAAACAGTAACAACAGAGGGGTAAATAAAGTAGGATCTACCAGAAATGCCCGCTAATCACCTGCAAAATGGACAGAAGAATAACAGACTCTAACAAAACAACAACAAAAATAAATAAAACAAAAACAAAACAACACCCCCCCCCCACAAAAAAAAAAATGAAAAGAAAAATGAGCAAACCTTTCCCATCATCTGTTTCACCAAAGGGGTTGATTTCAATTTGTGTGGCATCCACTTTCAGAAACAACTCATACAACTTGCGCATCTGTTCTGCTGCCTGGACAAGATGGCAAAGGGGAGGGGAAAAAATGTCATCAAACTGTCTGGAGTTAACATTATTTTATCTACTATCTGTATCTCCATATCTATCAACCCTAGGCAGTCAAGGAAAAGTAAGTTTTTTTTAAAATGTCGGTGCTTTTACAACCCCATCAACACTATTTTGATATTTCTTCTCTGCATGCCACTGTTACGTTACGACTGAGACACAAACATGACAGAATGGTGGAAAGAACACTCGAGCACTCGACAGGGGCTGCCCTTTCTACTTCTAAGATGGACTTTGAAAAATCTACGGAGATAGTGCCTTTAGATTTGGCTACGGGGTTAAGGTTTACTATTTCAAGTACCATCCACCACAGCCGTAAAATGTGTGCCCGGTCAGTGACGTACCTGAATTTGCTTCTCTCCTGTAAACCCAAGGTTTTTAGCCATGTCCAGCACCACCTGGTCTTGGAGTCCAACGTTGATGTCAATCGGTACCTGGACAAAAAAATTATTATTCAAATTAATGCACAGCATTCTCTTTGTTTTCGTAAGAAGTTTACGGCACTTGCAACACAATAAGGTCATATGAGTGCGGAAGAAAAGATGAGTTACAAGAGAGTACATACACAAAAGAGAAGGGGGGAGAAATAAGGATGACAGATGTTTGACAAGAAAGAAGGAGCAAACCGCACTAGAGCACCCACCAACCACCCACATTCTCTTTGGGTGTACTCAAGATAACCCCCCAAAAAGCGCCCATTTCAAATGAAAGCATGTTGAACGTTAATAGGGTGCCACAGAGTTATCAAAATGAGATCCACTGTTATTTTTTAAAACCATTATTTGATTGTCTTGAGTAAGTGCCATACCATACAGAATGGGGAAAAAGAAAGATGGCAGACTTCACCCTGACAACAGACAAAAAAAAAGGGAAAGGAGAAAGAAAATGTTACTGCATACGATAAAAAGACCACTAGAGAAGCTGTTATTGATTGCAAGGTACACATGAGACTTCCGATCTCCTTTTTTGCATTTCCACTCCTTGAGAAGCACTGGTCATCAACAAATCACAGCCAAAAGTGTCAGCCCTGTGCATCTTTCTCCAGTGGTGTCAAAGTTTTCACCCTGTTTCTTAGCATCTCCCTCCAACTGAGTAAGTATTGCTGCTCTTGGCATTCCTCCATTCCTTTTACCTTGGGGATTCCATCTCAATTCCATTCAGGTCTTACTTGCCATCAAATTTACTAATGTTACTTCCAACCCATATATCATATTCTATACATTTATGCTATAATAGTCACAATAATAATTTTAAAAAAATAATAAATGAATAATAATAATAATAATAATGATAATAGTTATAATAACAGGAACATATAGCGCCTAATCCTAGAAGGCTCTAAATCCTGTACAAAGCAGATTTATCACCCGACTTAACTGACAAATCAAAAGGCAGAAAATGAACATTATGACACCATTAAGTATCACACAAACACACATAGAACTCCTAGACCCACACACATTATCACATACAACATTTACTGAAAAAGGTCCCTGGTTAGCTTTCCTATTTATTGCACTTAACCTGTCTGTGAAAACACTTACAGAAAAAATGGCCTCTGGCTCTTTCTCAGCAACCTCTTCAATGTCCATCCCACCCTTCGGGCTGCCCACCATGACGGGACCGCCAAAGCCTCTGTCCATGAGAATGGCAAAATATGTCTCTCTGGAAATGTCCAGAGCTTCAGCTACCATGACCTAGAGAAGAGAAAAAGGTCCACACACTTGATGTAAGAAAGAAAAAAATATATAAACACAAGAAAGACCATGAATTTTCTATACATAAAAGTGCAGCAGACAGAAACAAGCAGAAGAATAGCAGTAAATATGAAATATTTTTAGTTTTAGT